ATACGTATATATATATATATACGTATGTATACGTATATATATATATATACGTATGTATACGTATATATATATATACGTATGTATACGTATATATACGCACCCCTCTGCCGGTTTATATATGCAGCAGTCACTTGTTGTCTGTGTGAATCAAGACATGTTGATTCCGCAGCACAGAGGCAAAGTGTTGAAACACATTCAAAACCGTGCAACACTCCAAAAACATTTATATGAGCTGCTGTGTGGGATGGCCACAGCGCCCCCACAGCTCGAGACATGCATGTGCCTTCCCAACCTGACAGGGACGCATCTGTGAAAACTGACACGTGTGATGTAGGTCTACTGACGGGAACTCCCTCTGACAGAAGAAGAGGGTTTCTCAGTGTCTCAGGTCGATTCTCACGGAGGGGGGCACAGCGAACGACCGTCTCTTCTGCCTCACCGGGTCCACACGTAAACGAGCGGACCATCTCTGGAGGCGTCGCACCATGTGAGCAGACGATATGTCCTTAATAACTTCATGACGGAAACAGCTGTTCTCACTCTGCCAGTTTCACGTGAGTTGCACTGCTGCCACCTGTCTGGAAAACGGGTCAGCAGCAACAGATCGTCCAGATAAAACAGAATTCTCCTCCCTGCTCTGTGTGGCGGCTGCAGAGCCGACTCAACACATTTTGAAAAGAAATGTTGTCTCACAGTTCAAAACTGACAAATCTAAGATGAGTCTCATCCCTCCGGTCCGTTTTGGGACCAGGAAGTGACGAGAGTAGAACCCTGTGTTTTCCTCTCCTTCTGGGACCATGGAAATTAAATTTTTTATCAGAATTTCCTGAACTTCTGCGTGGGGGGACGAGATCTGTTCTGGAGATGACAGAAAACATCTCTAAAGTTCCTCCAAACAGGGGGTTTGAGCCGTAACTGCAGCGTGAATCCCCTGCTGATAAAACGGTTCATCCATCTGTCTGGAGCGCACGCTTGCCGCCACTCCGCGTAACGTTCGGGAAGCGGGCATGCGTTTATGCTGCGTCACGTTATTTACGGACGCCAATCACTACCGTCATGTGTGCCGCACTCAGGCTGTGGGCTCACATCCTTGCTGATGTGAGCTGGCATGCGCTGAGGGAAGGTGCGCGCGCCCCAGAGCATGTGGAACCGTGTAGGTTTAGGGCTGCCGAGGGTGAGCGGCGCTTCTGTGCCGCGCACAGACTGCAGGCTCACATCCGTGCTAATGTGAGCTAGCGTGCGCTGAGGAGGCAGCGCACAGCTTGGGCTGAGAGCGAGGTTTCCCACTGGACTTGGTCTGCTGAAAACATCCACTTTGGCTGCTGTGTCACTCACACACGCATTTTGTGTGTTTTCTCGGGCTGCGGTGATTTAAATCCCGTTGGAGTACACCGGCTCGCTTGTGTGGAGGATGTGTGAGGAAAAGCCGCTGTGAGATCGTACGAACTGACAGTCAGGCTGAAATCATACACTTTAATTCCTGAATGATGTTTATGTTTTATTCCAAAAACTCAAACCATCATTATGCACACACACACATCCTCCGCAATGAATCATTTTAAATCTTCCCCCACGTGAGCCCTGCAGCTTGTCGGGATGAGGAGGGCTGTTCTCTGACGGGAGGGGCAGGCGGCGGAGCGGAGCGAGAAGACGCTGTTGCAGCTGTGGCGCGTCTCTGCTGTCTTGGCCACGACACTCTCTCCAGCGGGCGGGGGGGGGGGGGCGAGAGGAGGGGTGTGGCTTGATCAGATGGCGCACAGTCTCTGACACCTCCTCCGGCTTGAAAATTGGCTCAGAACAGCGCGTCCGTCATCATGGGGCCTTCCAGCGAGTCCATCTGCAGCTTCTCCGACAGGGCGGGGGAGTGACAAGCCAGGTGGACCTCTGAACCATTGTCATCCAGGCTGCGATGCGAGACAGGCAGACAGCAGACGAGGCACATGGGTTGAGGGTGACGTCAGACGCCTGCAGAGGGAGCTCTTCCTCTACTCAGGCAGGACGGGAGGCGCAGGACGCTGGTCCAACCTGGACATCTTTGCCCGAGAGCCTCCGCTAGGCTTGGCTCCAGGGGGGCATAGAGGGAATTTCCGCTCGGTAAAACCCCTCCACTCTGGTAATGGGCGTGAATGTGGAAACCGGCACTCTCAGTCTACCAGGTTCGGCTGCAGCCTCGTTCCAGTAGGACGCCACTGCTGGGAAAACGAGGCCAGATGGGATCAGGACGGTGAGCCGGGGTGGAGCCAAAAAACCTTCCCGCTAGATCTGTGTGGAGGAAGGAGAGAGACGGAAGAAAGTCCCTTCATGTCAGCCGCCTCCTGGATTATGCCGAGCAGCTCCGAGAGGAGGGCACCGACAGCTGGGAGCGGTGTGGTCGCCGATGCGAAAAGGCCCGGGGCCAGTCAAGCTGGACAACTTCCCTTCCTCGTTCTTCTGACAGTGCTATTAGCTTGCTGAAGAAAAATGGGAGCCGATTACCCGCTCTTAACGTAATTTATACGGACCGGGTGGGGCCCACACAACAGGTGGGAGTGGACTAATTTTTTCAGTGCGATGCTTTGCATGACGGGATAAACCCACCAGCGAAAGCCTTGAAGGGCGAAGCCTATACGAAATAGAACTCGCAGGTTTGAGCACATTACTCCAGTTCTGCCCTCCCTTCACTGACTTCCTGTGCGTGCCAGAGTTGATTTTAAGATTCTTCTGCTGACATTTAAGTGTGTTAATGGCCTTGCACTCTCAGACCTCCTTCATCCACTCCTTCTCAGGCTTTGAGATCATCCAACCAGCTGCTTTTGGCCATACCAAAAACCAGGCTGAAGCACAGAGGAGATTGGGCGTTTTCAGTCATGGGCCCTAAACTCTGGAACAATCTGCCCATCAACATTTGACAGGCCACCTCAGTCTCTGCTTTTAAATCTCTCCTCAAAACACATCTGTACTCATTGGCATTTAACACAGTGTGATCTCATTTGGTATTTTGTTGTTGATGATTGTGTTCATCCATTTTGCTTTTACTCCCTGACATTTAATGCAGGGAGATTTGATTTATTATTCCATTGTTTCTCATTATATTTCATGTTTTTTATGCTTTTATTCATGTTGCTGTAATGCCTCGTTATTAATATTCGATGCTGTGATCTTTTTTTGGTAAGCACTTTGATAACAGTTACCGTTTTAAATGTGCTATATAAATAAATGTGACTTGATTTGACTACAGAAATAAACTAAATTGAAATTAAAAGTTTAGCAATTAAATGTTTTCAGTTGTTTTAGCTTCTTCAGCAGCTTTCAGCAATAAGTATTATTTTCACAGGAAATGACTGTTTCTCTAGATCAGGTTAAGATGGCTAAAAATAATGCAGTGAGTACAATGTTGATGTTTTATTAGATTAATATCAGAATATGGCTGCTCGTAAGAGAAGAGCTGCAGCTAAAAACATTTAGGTGTAGATCCTACATGTTTGAGGACATGTAGTGAAGCTGTGGCAACAGGGCAATGGACTGACACACCTACAGGCTGTGAAAATAACAGGATGGATTTGTTATAGATTATGTGTCACCAAACCTGAAGAGCAAGCTTCACTCAGGAGCTGAATATCTGAAATCAAACATTTATTTCATTCGGACCTTAAATTAAGTAGATCTGTTTACAATTTCAGGTGTAATCCCTGACAGCATATTGGTAAATAATATGTTGTTAGTACATCGGAAAGGTTCTGGGCAGTTGCCCTATATTTACTTAACAGTATTAATAATATAATTACTTTAATTAATATTATTAATTCAGGTCTATCTTGTAAATGAGTCCTCGAGGCTCAATGGGATTAACCTGTCTAAATAAAGGTTGAATGAATAACATTTACTTATATGCACTTATAACTTCATCTCTGTGTAAAACTCAACACTTACTTGATGAGAGAGCGCCATCCAGCCACGTAGTGTTCAAGGCAGACATCTTTATCTGGCGACAGACACAATTTAAAACTGTCGAGCACTTCCTGCAAACAGAATTTCTGGTTCTGTGAACCTGCCATGATTCTCGACGAGGATTTCTATCAACAAATAAACGAAAAAAATAATAATTAGAAAACCCCGTTTATATCTGTGACCGACCAGATGGAGCTAGGAACAGATTAAGAGATGTGACAAACTGTCGCACAGTGAACGCATCACCTGCGAGACAGTTTCTAAAGGTAAACGGTAAACTCATTTGACAGTATGGTTTCAAGCCGGAAACGTCAGATCATTTCGATTGCTGCTGCGCATGCTTGGACCGGACAACACAGGAAATCACCTTCAAAATAAAACTGGGAATTTCAAAAGAATCATTGGTAACTGCGTAAAATTTGAGCTAAAACCTAAATTGAAAGCAGCTAAAACAGAAGCTGATCTTTGGTCTTTAAATAGAAGTGAAAAAACAATATTTAAAAACCTGTTTAACGCGTCAAAGCACAGCAAACTTTCCAGACTGTGGATCATGGTTATTTTATACAAGATTTTGTTGTTGTTGTTGTTTTGTGTCAAAAAGTTATAGGTTTGTGTCTTCTAATGCTATTGGGGCGGCTGTGGCTGAATGGTTAGAGCAGTCGTTCTCCAATGCAAGAGTTGGGGGTTCGAATCCACCAGCAGTCACATGTCGAAGTGTCCCTGGGCAAGACACTGAACCCCTCAATGCCTCTGATGTGTGTCCCATCAGTGTCTGAATGTGATAAAGCTCTGATTATTCTCTTTAGAATGATTTGTTCAATTAGCTTTGTATAGATCTAGTAGAGTGCTGTATGAATGGGTAAATGAGGACACAGATTGTAGTGGAAAGCGCTTTGAGTATCTTGAAATAAGATAGAAAGGCACTATATAAGTACAGTCCATTTACCATTGTAAAATTATATTGAATTGAGGAAAAATGTATACATATTTTTCACAATTTAAATAATTATATATTTTTAAAAAAATCAAATTGATAAGTTGATCACTATAAAAAGGTAAAGAAAAGTTGTGTTTGAAAGCAACAGTCCATGCTCAATAATCCAGGTATAAAATCCAACATTTTTCAGTCAGGTCATCTGGACAGTTTCTTTTTTTGTGCTGAAGGAATAATCAGTTTTGTTGTGTGTTTCCTTGACTGATGAAGCCTTCCGGATCAAAGGCGAAACGTTTCAGCACAAAAAAAGAAACTGTCCAGATGACCTGACTGAAAATGTTGGATTTTAAACCTGGATTATTGAGCATGGACTTTGTTGTTTTCAACCAGTTTGACAAGATTGTCAACAAGGAAGAGGGCCGGCAATGGAGGAGGGGCGTACCAAAGAGACATCTAACCACAAGCAGAACTGGTTTGTTCCACTTTGGAGTAAGCTGTTGGAGGAGGAATCAGTTTTGTTGTGTGTTTTCTTGACTGATGAAGCCTTCTGGATCGAAGGCGAAATGTTTCAGCACAAAAAAAAGAAAGTGTCCAGATGACCTGACTGAAAAATGTTGGATTATGTTTGAGAGGTTAACAAAAGAGCTCACATTTAAAAAAGTTAAATCTGGTCCTCTGGACATTCAAAAAAAC